CGCTCTTGTCAATGTCATGTGTACGGCAACATGGGAGAAATGAAAATCCCGAGACTAGGCAATCAGAAAATAGATCAAATATCCCTGCACCTCAAGATTCCAAGGGTATCGGAAAATAGACATTCAAGGACCTATTCAACATTCCAAGGAAATTTGGAGAAATTCTGGAATACTATTACCAACCGGGTAGGCTGGTCTATTCCAGGGGGGTTCAACGGTCACTCAGGGGACCCTCCCATGCAGGCGCTACAATGGCACCTATTCCTCCCGAATCCCGTCCGGGTTGGGCAAGCGTAGGAAGTCAGACTTCAAGCTTCCTCCACCCTCCGCAGATTCATCGGATTCCAAGGAATACGAAAGTGACCCAAGAGGCCAAAACAGAGGATAAGGTGCACCTAGAAAAAAATTTGTAAAACTGTTCAAGTGCGAGGAGATATGCCAAGTATCATCGATCCACCCAAAAAACCAATGTTTCCAGCAATTGATGTCCATCCCTCTGAAGGATGGAAGGAAAGAAGTATGGAAAAAATCCCAGCCTCTAACAATCTTGAAACACCCAGCTCCCCAGAGTTCCAAGAGGAAAAATCCTCAACGACAATACCCTTCCCCCGGTAATGGGAATATATGTTACCAGTTTCCGTGCACTTTGTATAGTAAAGCGGTGGTAGGGTGTCATAAATTTACTAGCAGCGCTGGATAAGTTACCCCGGCGTGTCAAAAAAAAAAAAAAAAAGAACGAGTACTCCACCTCAAAGGTCGTCCAACGTATGGGAGAAAATAAATCCACCGATATCAGTGGACTTCCTGCTGCACGTGTGCCCCCGGAACAACCCGACGGTGCTCCACCCCCGGTCAAACCTCCGAAGGAATTTAGACTATTATCACTCTGCAACCGAACGGGTGGCCTAGTAACCCTAACCCTAGCCTCCAAGCTTATTTATCCAAACTTGTTAGGTCTGTCATTGGCACTACACACTAATATGCGAGTTACGATAATATGATAACTTTCCTTGGAACCTCTGAGGAGCGTCTTGAGGGCAACTAGAGGTGCAGTAAATGCGCGCCCACCAGCCTGTCCTGTCTATAGAGATCTAATGCCTGCGATTTTTTTTTTCTTCGTCTCGTTGATGATATGGCAACTCACTGGCATCTCCGGCGGGTTTATATCCAGATTATGTCACCACCTTAGGGTGATCCTAAATTTCGCACTTAGCAGCCCGTGATTCCCGGGTTCTCACGAGGATATCGCACAAGAAATTGAAGCAGGTCCCCAATGGTAAACCAGGACAGCACCATGTTACCGCAAAATTAATTATAATATTATCAGAACCAAGGGCCAATTAAACCAATCAGAAATCACACAACACAACACAACCACGATGGAGGAAAAACATCCCCACAAACAATCCCTATACCCTTCCTTCCTTCCTTCCTTCCCCCACTACTTCCCTTAAGCTCCCTTCCCCACGCGACCCATAAATTCCCCAACCCTGAATCGGAATCTCAATAGGTACCTCTCAACAAATAACGCACATGTACCAAATTCCTATCCAATCATTAGCCTTTCAACCTTGTGGAATGAAATCTCGGAGTTCATACGTTCGTCAACCGGAGGATCGGCTTCTCCGGGAGCAGTGGGGGTACTAGCGACGGCGCTGACCGGCTTCATTCTTTCCGCTTTATCCGAATTCAACGACGTTTGTGTAAATGAACGAATGGTTTGATTTTCCAAACGAGGATGCTCGATCTGTGTGAGCAAAATCCCGGTATCTCGTGACGACTCGCGAAGGAATTATGGCAACGAATGTCGTAGTAAAAATGTCGATTAGTGAGATATCAAAGTGAGATCAGGAAGATATCGGAGAGAGAGAGACAAGAATAGCAGTTTCGAGGGGAGCTCAAGGCAGAAAAGGAAGCAATGCCGATATCGATGAAGAGGGAAGAGTATATCTCCCACAGCGCATTTATATATACCTCCATTTTCCAAGGACAATCCCATCGGGGAACAATACAAACGGGGCTATCAAGAACAATCAAGAGGTGCAGAGAATAAACAGTGACTGACATCGCGGAGAAACAATGACCTGGACATAGCAAGCGTAATGGCTCAGGATTTAAATACAATGCCGTGAAGAGAGATTCCCAAAAAACAATGACTCCCGAGAGGAGGTTCGAGCTGCATTGTCCTTGGGGAGGGCTTTGACCTGCTGATCCATTTTACAATGCTCCTCGGAGAATTAGTGAAACGGTCCTTCTATTCCCCAACCACGTGTTTGCGCTCGTGGGCCCTAGACTTCCATTAGAATATGCCGAGGTGTTCCAACCTATTTAGCGCCCCCAACGTTTATAAGGGCATCATATGATAACGCTTTACAAACGATAGTATATGTCACAAGGTTTTCCAAATCGCAGTTTGTAAGGTATGATACGCGTTACCAAACACCTCACAGAGCTCTTATAATCTCATAATAATATTATTATCATAAAAATAAAAGAAAAACAAGAGGCCACATGGGTGCATAGTACCCGAAAGGGAGAAAAAATGTCTATAATAATATCATCACAGCTCAATCGAAAATAACATATCATACTCCATGGCAGTGCAAACCCCCAAGACCAAACAGCCGCAACCGTTTTTCCAAAAAAATCCCTAAGTCCACCTCATCATACAACTTTTTCAAAAACCAAACTTTGTGGGGGTTTTATGATATAGTAAATCCTCCCTTCCAGACTATTACTAGTAGTTACCTGTGTGTCCCACACGACCTTCTTTACCCAGATTACTTCATATCGTGCTTGCAGCTGTGAGATTTTTAAGGGCTCCCGCGACCACAATATACAGGAAATGAATGCCCCTAATCCACCTCCCCATCATTCCCACCCACACGTCACGAAAAAAAAAAGAGAGATATCATAGAACTCAGGTAACATATCCCCTCCAACGAAATCTCCCAACAAAAATAACATGAAAAATTCCTCGGCGCACTAGGAACAAACTCCGCCAACTTACAGCTCCGAACTCCTCTCCGAAGAAAAAATACAAAATGACAGTCAATCACTGGGGGAGTTGCGTTGCTACTCAGCCTCTAACCAAAATATCCCGTGATATTCCATTTTCAGCTTCTTCTCTCGAGGGTACGACATATCTGCTGCAACATCATGCCAGATATGTTGAAAACATGCGAATGATTTCACATGGGAGCCATAAGCATTTGTGTGTATACGTAAGTGCTTACACATCTTTCACGTCTTTGTTGTGTGTTGCTACCTGAAGTTTGTTTTCTCCTATTCTTTTTTTTCTCTTACCTGACCAACCAACACACCCAATTCCCCCTCTTCCTCCCTCGCTGTTTTGCTCCACTCTGGATAGTCAACAAAACCTACCTTCTTCTTTCTTTCTCTTGACTCCACTCTCTGTATACAAGAAAAATACTTTTCTCTCTTTGAGCATTTACTTTCTTCGGTTCCGTAAAACCTTCGTCAATTCAACCGCAATTTCCAACAAGATATCCAACCCGAAATCCGAGTGATGCCTCATGACCGCCACAACCACCCACCCCATAACTTAACAGACCAACCCCAAGCTCTCAACCCACCATCCCCTCCTCACCCCTCTTCCCCACTCTACCATGTTGCATAATATGTACCTATGATATGATGCCATACCAAACTCTTCACACCACTACCACCAGTAACCACAAAATTTTATCCAAAGCCCCCCCACACTCGCATTTCACCACCATATCCCAATATCATTATTCCCGTCCGGGGATAAATGACAGCAACAACTCATCTCAGGTAACGACCACTTGTACCACCCCGGTCAACCAACCCCGATTCTAAATCAAGACCGCAGAATTACCATACCCACAGCGCGAAGAACCCGAAACGTGGACCACCGCAAACTTACCCGTACCAAGTCCGTAGGTAGCGGACACGTTATTCAAACGAGTTAGCACAATAGACACGCACGCACACCCGGTATCAACGTCTGGAGGTTCCGGTCGCGTACACACACCGGGCAAGCAGTGCTATATACCATAGCCATCACCATCTTCCAGCTCAACCAACAAATTCCCGACAACCACCAAAAAAACCAACACGGCATGACTAGAATACGGAAACAACTTGCCCGAACCGCATCCATTTTGAAAGACGGGGAGGGGGGGCACCCCATCGATACCGCCAGCACGTAGAGAACCCCACAAGACCCACAGAAACTCCCCGCAAAGAATCCAAACGCCGTAAATTCAACATGTGACGGTGCATCCCTCACCCACCACCCAGAATATCAACACAACACAGATCATCCATCCGCCGGAAACCGTGACGGACAGCCGCAACAAGTGCCGAGACCCACACCGTAAATACGATCCCACCCGCCCCGAACTGTATTCCATTTCCACACCCATGGTCGCCATCCTCCCATCGCGAGGTCGATCGGTTGAGTGAGATTCTTTCCTGCGATACCTATCGTGAGTAGGGCTGTTCCCTTCACTGCCAACTAACCTAAGTACGCTGCATCACGGTGGCGATTTCCGCGGGTTCGGGAGATACATGTTTTGCGGGATGATCCTATCATACAGATTAACTCGAGAAGGTAGGTCTAGCAGGGAGGGGGGTGATTGTGATGCTTTCCATGGTGGAGAAATGAGGTTTGTGTTTGTGGGGCGGTTTCCGACTGGCCGACGCCGGGGATGGCTTTATCGGTAAAAGTAGCAGATTTCAATATATACTCCTTCCCATATATCCTAACAAGCGCGGTGTTTAAACGTTGGTATATTGTCATGGTACATTCCCACGATACATTATAAACTAACTTGACTCAACTGGACAAGACATAACCAGAATTTTACCTTCATTTTTTTTGCCCTCCAAACGGACGAATATCCTCGCCATAAAAAAAAAGGAAAACCCCCCGTTTTGAAAAAAAAAGCTAGAAATACACCTATTTTTAATGACTCCCCCCCACCCGCGAACCCCACGCCGATTGCCCGCTATCAGGCACTCCCTGGCACCGTCGCAGACGTTGGCATGTTCTCAACGGAATTGGGTGCACCGGCGTTAGCACTGGCATCAGCAGTGCCTGTCGTCGCACCGTCCGGCACCGCATTCCCGCTAACGCCCTGCTGTCCGCCCTGCGCTGGATCGGAGGTACCCTCATTTGCAGCACCACCCCCTATCTCTCCGACTCCTTCCGTTGGTGCCTCCCCAGGTGCTTGAGGCACACCTTCAACTGCCGCTCCTGCCGCTTCTTCAGCTACCGCTCCATCCACCGTTCCATCCACCGCTCCATCCACCGCTCCATCCACCGCTCCATCCACCGCTCCATCAGCCGCTCCATCAGCCGCTCCATCAGCCGCTCCATCAGCCGCTCCATCCGCAGCACCTTCCGCAGCGCCCTCCGGAGCCGCAGCTGCCGCGTCTACTACCACAATAACCTCTTCCGCCGGTGCCTCCCCCTCGCCAGGCAGCTCGAAATCCCGAATATGCGGTGTCCACTCTTCAAACGAGAGCATCGTCCCGCCGAGAAATCGAGCATGAGCCTTGTGACCCAGTTGTTTGCATTCCGAGGTAGAATAACAATTTTCGCACCAATCAAAAGTTCGGCTGCCAGTACAGCTATCGCTACATATACAGCAATCTTCATACTATTAGTCTTTCCCCAAGCGAAAACAGACCTAAGGGGCAGGAGTGATGCATACGGAAAAAAATCTTCTCATTCCTGCGCACTCGGCAAACGTCACAGTTGAACCATGTCCAATAATTTTCCTCCTTGTCAGTGAACAGTGGGCATACATCCTCAGGGTCCGGGATTTTGGGGTCTGCGAGTATACTTCGGATCGTTGGCCAATGGGCAACATCGAGCGGTACCCGCCCATATTTATCGGGAAGGGAAGGATCGCAGCCGGATGCAAGCAAAAGCCGCACAACATTAGCGGCAGGAGGGCCCAATGCAACCGCGTGGAACAGCAACGAGCACCCATCGGCGTCCACCTCGTTTACAAATATCTTAGAATCATAGTTTAACAGAGTCCAAAATACTGAAGTATCCTGCTTCGAGACTGCATTCTTGATGCAGGTCCGTAATTCAGGATATCCCCCAACTATATCAGGCTTAATACCCTTGGCAAGGAGACGCTTTAGAGCGCCGGGTTTATGACCCGATATGGCAGCGGCGAATAACGATTTCCCCTGGTCGGCTAGTTGAGATAGGTCAAACTTCTTGCTATTTAGAAACGAGTCCGCGAGCAAGTTCGACACTTCTTCCGTAGATGTACCACTCTCCATGGAAATTTGAAACGGGGTTTTCCCGTCCTTGTCCAAGCTAGCGAAATCAGCACCAGCCTTAAGAAGAATTTCCACAATAGCAAGATCTCCCGTGCGTGCAGCAATATGAAGCGGGGAAGCTCCATCGCTATCTACGACAGAGCGCCTCCTGTTAACATCTGCCCCATACTCAAGCAACTCCTTGACAATCTCAAGCGCTTCCGTTGCGACCTGTGCCGAAGCGATATGCAAAGGGGTTTCGTTATCCGGCTTTGTCACCGGGTCCTCTGACACTCCCGCCTCGAGTAGTGCGCGTATTACCCTGACCGAACCCTCACCCACTGCGAAATGGAGAGCCCTTCGCCACCCCCTGTTTGTCACAGGAACTTCAGCATCTGCTCCTGCTTCAAGTAAGAGCTTCACGGAGTCCAGTCTATTGACATAACAAGCAAGGGCAAGAGGTGTAAAGCCTTCGTCATCGCGGGGGGATAGTTTGACATTCGCACCGATAAGCGTCGTTACCGCTTCAGTTTTTCCATCTAAAAAGTTAGGCAACTCATGCTAAAACAATACGTGAGGGAACATACTCCATGCAGCAAAGTGTAGTGGGGTGAAAAGCCATCTCTTGCTAGTTGTCTCTTTATCAGCTCCCCTGTCGAGTAATTCCTGGATCGTTTCCGAATGGCCCTCCTCCGCAGCAAGCGAGAGAGCCGTCCGGCCTAAACTGTCCTTCGCATCAACCATACACTTTCCAACATCTAAAAGTACCTTGAGAGCGATAAGGTGGCCAGAGCCGGCAGCACATTGCAGCGGTGATACATCGGCACCCTCTACGTTAGCCTTCCCATTCAGTAACTCTATAATGCTCAGATCGTATCCTCCCTTGGCTGCTAGGGCCATAGGCGTTTTCTGATAACCGGAGGTGGCAGGATTAACGTTACATCCTGTCTCAATGAGCAGGTGAACAATCCTTGTGTGCCCATACTCTGCCGCTGTACGAATAAGATTATCTAGCTCCAAGTTATCGAGCTCATGCTCTTTCGCGAGATTAAGCAATTTTTCCATCACCGAGAAATAACCACGACGGCACGCTCTCTCCAGGGCCGTAGGAAACATTGCATGTCCTGGTTGGGGTGAGTCGTCCGGTTTAGGCCGTTTGAGACACGACTCTATTATCTTCAGTAGGGCGCCTTCATGCCCCTCATGGACAGCCAGGTTTAAGGCCGCATTAAGATCGTCTATCGAGGAAGTGTTTGTCTCCAAGAGATTCTCGAGAATTCTCGATACTCCGAGATACGACAGTATCTCCAAGGGAGATTCGGTGTTCACGTTTGAATCTATGGCGGACCTAATTGCCAAAGCCTCATTCATTTGAAGCGGCACTCTAAAGGTTGAGTAGACCCTTGCAAAGTGATTCATGGCCGTATTATCTTCCAGAAAGGAAAGAACCTGGTCGTGGAGCCCTTCTGCCTCGGCTGGCGCCTTCTCAACATGCGTCGCCCAATTCATCGCCGCATACTGAAGAAAATCGAGTTTCTTGATCCGCCGGAGGTAGTGCTGAGGCCAAAGTTTGGGGAAGACGCGGGAGTATTTCTCTTCGAATGATTGCCCTTCAAACCCCTCAAAAACCAATTGCATATAGCGAACACAGACGGCTCCCATTCGTTCGTGGACGGTTTCCGGCTCCGACAAATCAAACAGCGGCCCGTATTCCGTCGAATGACTGCCGCAACTGAGGAGGAAATCTTTCAAGTTGCGGTCAGTGAGGTGCACTTCATCATCATGTATTGTGATCAGGGGATCGATATAGCGGAATAAGCCCAGGCTCGATTCGGGGCAATTCTTGATGATCTCATCTATTGAACTGGAATCGGTATCAAAGTCCACGGCTATGGCTACTGCAAGCTCATTTACTGTCAACGGTCGAACGGCAAACAAAACCCACGAAATTGCCCTGCTACACCAACGGCGATACTCCTCCGGAATAGCCAAGCTGCGAATGAGGCGATCGTATAGCTGAGGGTACCCCGACTCCAAGGGGGCGGAAGGCGAATTCCTTAGTATAGCAATGTTTAGCTCGATCTCCCGGAAGGTAGCATCTAGGGAACGAAGCTCCACCGCTCTCTTTTCAACACCCATTCGTTTGACCTCTTGCTCCACAAACTGCTCTTTCCCGGTTTTCGTACCAGCTGCCGCATCCAAATCGATAGTGCCCGCCGGATACCGCTCAGAGAGCGCCTTATCGATCTCACGGCTGGTAACGATAAATTGGATATTTGTTTTGATTTGGTCTTTAAGCACACCAATGTATCCGAGCACCTGGTCTCTTGTTTCATCACATTCGTCAATGGCGTCAATGACTGCCACAAATCTCCGATCGCAAGGAACTGATGCAAACATAGCCCTGAGCAGCCCCCACAAACTCTCTGGGGTCCGCGTGGGATGCGGTGAGATTGTTTCATATAGACTACGCACATACTTGTTTAGACTAACCGACCGTTCCTTGAAAAGCAGCTGTCCTAGGAAGGACAAATACAGATCATTTGAAGTACTGCGCCGTTTGTCATGTTGACTGAAATAGAACGAAAGTACAAACGCGCCATTATCACTCGCCTGTTCCGCAATCTGGGCTGCAAGGACGGTTTTTCCACTCCCGGGCCGACCAGAAATCTGAATCACGGGAGACGAAATACTCAGCAGTTCCGAAGCCCAGGATGAGCAAGAGATCAAGGGCTCCTGTCGCAGCACAGGGCCCTTGTGAAGTTCAGGATACAGTGTCGCCATGGTCAGTCGACTCTCCAGATATTCGATCTGGTTATCTATAGGCCACCAGTCACTATACCAAACCAAGAAAACAGCCTAGGGAGAAAACCCACCTTGGCAAGACTCTCCCGCCACAGATCCAACCTTTTTACATATTTCCACAAGCACTGGGTCGTCCTCTTTAGTGAATCGTGAAAGTTTCCTGTAATCCTCGTTGCGCCTCAGGGTAGTATACCACTCTCTACGTGCGCCCAGCCGGGGGAAAAAATCGGTACCCTAAAAAGCAGTCAGAATCAAAGAGCGCTCTCCTTCCGCCAGAGCATTAACTGACTATATAACCCAAGCCCGGGACGGGCTTCCCTTCGCTGATAGCAAGAACCTCATACTGACCGCCAAAGGTTCGAAACCGCTCAGTCGTTGTTATTAGGGAGGGCGAAGCATGTGCGAGAGCCTTCTTCATGATATCGCGTTGCGGGGGAATACCATCTTCAGATTCGGTGGTTGCCAGGGTGATATTTAGGACCACGTCTTCCCATTCCTTCCCCGACGCTTCCGGAGTGCCGAAAAGCACCTATAAACAAGTAAGCCATCATGGATAAAGGACCCCTCCCCATATTTCACTCACTAACAGCCTTGTACGAGCGGCGATTCTTAAGTAGTCCATGTCGTGGTTCGCGACCCAAAGTAGCTGATTCAGATTAGGACCAAGCCATTATCCCGTTGATATGGTGACAATTAAAGATACTCACCTCCTGGATCAAAACGCCGCCGAGACAATGCCCAATAAAGATGATAGGAACGTTCTGCAGATACCGTCATTAGACACCCTCCATCTTTTCCGAATCGAGTGGCGTCTGGCAAACCTCGTCAAACACGTTTGGATATTGTCGGAGCCCCTTTATCTGTGAAAGTAGTTCATAGGCAACTCGACGAAGGCCCTCCGGATTAACAAGCCCGGTTTCAGACTCTGGAGTTGCGTTGTAATCGAACGACATAACCCTCGCCTTGGGCACAGCCTTCGGGAGAGCGGTGGAGATCCACGGCGGTCCCTCACCATCCGCCCAGGTTTTCTTGTAATCCCCATTCAATCCGTGAACCACAACCACACTATCTCGTTTAGCAGCAATCTCGCGAAAGGGTTCGAGGAGGGGTGATATACTCCACGCTGTGCTTCTCCGGATCGCCAACACCGTCGGGTTCCACGAGCAGGGTTAGGGTGGGATTATTTTGTGGAGGGGAGCTCGAGCTCATGTCGGCTATTTTCGTTGGCTCGTAATCCAGGAGAGGGGTTCGATATGCGAAAACTAGAGATAAACGCTTGAATAGAGGTGACGGGGAGATAAAGAAAAAAGTACAGTATCCTCTCAGACGATACCTGTATCGAGAAGTGGAAGGCGGGGTACAAATAAGAGAGAGAAATCGCGGTGCGCTGATGTTGAAGAGGAGCCCCATTGATGTGGGCTGTGCAGAACCGCACCGCGCACACCTGAGCACGGCCATCGGTAGTTGCACAGCATACCAGTACCACAAAGTACCGTGTGTAAATACCGGTAGAGATGAGCTACCAGGGCATACCGGTAGAGTACCGTATGATACCATAGATATTATTGGCCGGACCTAATGCAATCCATCTATGAGTAGTCCGTGGCAAACCCGAGAAAAACCCAGCAATGAAATTTAATCGTGACTCACAGTTAATCGCTAGGCCAGCAGATGCGCCGTGCAAGTGCCATGATTAAGCTAGTGCACAGTCACTCCCGATTGATCCACAAATAACCCATATCTTGCGGGAATAACCACCCTCTGGCACTCGCACAGATGACTGCAGAGCACGAGCATCATACCAGTACAGTTCCTGGTCTGGGGCATACCGGCACTACACAGCAAAATCTCGCGGCAACATCTGCACTATGGCCCCGCAGTACCTTCTCAGGAGAGCTATCACCACCGAAGCGTTGCCTGAAAACCTTTCAGATGATACCCTACGAGCCCGCAAGTTTCTGCACTCTCGTAAGGCCAGCACTACCAGCTCTTGAGCGGCCAATTACCGGTTCTGGTACTGGTTGTGAAAGGCGATGAGAATCAGCGAGCTAGGGTTGATCAACTAGGAAAACTGACAGTGAGCCAGCAATTCTAGAATATATACCGGTATGATACCACATCATACCAGTACAGGTAGACTACCGTACGGTACCACGGTATTGTGTCATAAGCCACCGGGAGAAACTAACCGAGTCGGAGAGGCTTAACTTTAGCCAGATAAGTTAGTTTATCCTACTTGTACAAGTGCTGTACCACAATCAACTGCCGGTATCGTACCGACAAGATCACCGAAAATTGACCTCATTCCCTGCGCCACTCTTCTTAACCCAGCAGGATGCCATATCATACGATACTATACGAGTACAATGTCACCCGGCGCACCTATCGCCTCCCAGCACCCACATCCTCCCAGCCCCGAAGATGCCCAATGCAGCGCTTTATTATACGGTAGGCAGCCTAACAGTCATAAGCTTATCAACCGAAACTTGAAACATCCCGGTGCCACAACATAAGGTTCTAATCAGATCGGCCCCCCTCGAGACCCTAAGCCTTCCCTCCTTGCATAAGCACCCTAGAGCGCAGGTCAGTGATGGGGCGGAGAGGCTTTGGGACCTGACTTGGGGGGGAATAATGCCGCAACAGGTCCACTGGACGAATGTGAGCGGATGACTAAAGAAACAAATAACAGGCAATCTTCTGTTACCCTGCTTTGACCACCTCCCTTTTGCCTACCAAACACGCCGCTGCGTCCCCGCACTAACTTATGGTACTGCGTCGCAGGTACGGTCAAGACTGTACTCACGTGCACGAATTGAAATGTGACACTTTGTATGGAATTGTCGCCGTAGGTGTACCGTGTCCGGCTTCAGCTCGGCCATGCAAGTCCTTAGGATCTGCGCAAAAGACTTTCGAACCCTCGCGCCCGTTGCTATGATAGAAGGAAACCTTCTTGGTAGGTCCATTGAGCCAAGCATACTTAACTCACCCTAAACGCAAACCATCACAAACCCTGCAGCCTGCACCTTGGTATCATACCCGTATCCGCCTTGTGAGGCAGGACAGGATCAGCGTTTTTCACCGCCTGCCTCAATTGGCTACAGTGGATGCCTCCCTACCTGCATATATAAATTCCCCAACTCCCCGATCCCCATCTAAAACCACAAAACGACCATCCATTTTCCCGCTTCTTAATAACAAATGCATCCGATACCAAGCCACGCAAGTACGATAGCACCCTCAATTGAGAAATAAATGCCCAAAATTCGGAAGACTAATTCCAGACCTCCACCCCGCTGCACCGGTATTCACCTTGCGCTCGAAACAAGACCCCCTGGGGACCTCAGGAGAGGTCTCAAATCTCAAAGGGCACTCCCAAAATAGGACCCTCGATATGACCCCATCCTCCCCCCGCCACCCCCGCGACATTTCTTACAGCCCAGCTCAAGAGCTCAAGGTTCCCAGGCCCTCGATAGATGGATCTAGAAATTACATTTATTGAACCGGTACGCCGTAACCTTTTTTTCCGTGTAACTTGCATTGTTCAGGCGATCCGAGAGGATGGAAACCATTGCCTAGCGGCATATCACCAGCCGGCTGGGGCGGGACCCTGCGTAGCACCAGTATCCGCAAACGAGACACCCTTCCATCCCTTTCTAAACCTGCAGACCCTAGCAGTACTATAGCCTACTTGCAGCCATCCACTTAGCATGGCAACTGAGTATCGAGAAAGAGAAATTCTAACGACGATCGATTATAGGGAACGATGAAAATATCCGGCCTAGACCCTGCCGTATCCACTCTGTCCTCCCTCATACCATAATCATCGAATGATGTACTAGCACTCGAATTCAGAAATATGAGATATACTCTACCCGGAGAAGAGTATGGTTTCGGATACTCGCCTATGCATGCATCGTTCCGCCTCCGATACCCTCTTCCACTGGTATTTATGCTCCTGTATTCAATTAATACCTCTCTAGTACTCTTTTTATGTCACTCTGTTACCACCACTCTCGACCCCCAAGCACGTAGCATGCTCCATTTGAGGGTTGAACGAGTGAGCATAAGTGAACACAGTGTGGGGTAGTCTTATGCTGGAATGGGCCAGCTCGGGGGTCTCAAACTGTAGGTAGCATACGGTTATTGACCCCAAGCTGAGAGAGGTTATCCCACCAAGCAACATACTGGTACGGTAGAGGTAACACGATCTCATTTACCACCCACCGCCACCTACCATTCCCAAAAATGAAGTCCTTCACAACCCCACATCATCTCTCATCCGCAGTATGCTATCCAAAGCCAAGCCCAAACGACCCTATCTCCGCTATGACCCCCCACCCATAGCCCCATTCTATCCAGAGATTCCCGAAATGTAGGTGGTGCTCGGAATGCAGTCCAATCGCCTCATGTTTGCGCTACCGTTAATAATACATATCCCGTCTCAGGCCCGAATCTCATTGCGAAAGGCGTCCCCCCGGCTCGAAACATTATGTGGGATAGTTCGAGGAATTCACAGCTCATTATTCACTCAAATGGGATATAGGACCAAACTTGGTATTATCCGGCTATATGGGCAGGAGCGAACAAACACTCTCCTAATAAATTCTGTATGTTCCGATTAGCAGACAGCTGTTGGCCAATCCACATTGACCCAAAGTTCGATGATGAATTCGTATCAGAGCTTCATTTATAGGATGGATATAGTACCAAGCGTATAGAGGAAACTCGCCTCTATTAACCCATTCGGAGCGAATCCTCCGAGGGCATCACCATCAGGTTGGAAGCATCATAAAAGTTGTATATTCCGAAAGTGAATGGTTTGCACTCATGCTGCAGAAAACCCGACTTTTGTGGTGAGTGTCTGAGGGTGGCAAGATCGAGAGATGATGGCAGAGGCGAGAGCCACGTTAATATCAAACACGAGTTTGAAACCGAGCTCACCACCACTAGTGCATCCCCGCTCCCATGCTGGCCCCAACGCAAATACCAGGTACACAGCCACCCGTAGTAACTTGACTACCCTTACCCATTGCAAGACCCAGCACGCTAAATGCTGAATGAAGCTTAGGGTGAGATATAGCTTCAACCATTTCAAACCATTAGATCAAACACAGTTTGTGTCTGCGGACCACAACGCCGTCAGTCTTCCATCCCCTCCATCTCTATGCAACCAAAACCACTTTAACCCCTCATCCCTTCCATTCCATCATCATTTCTTCTAAAGCCCCCATACCTGCTCATAATTTTCTCAACCAAATGACACCAGATACCGTAAGAACTCGAATAATTGAACCTCGCGCTAGGATGTTCAGAATTCCCTCCCTTGGAGAGAGGGCCGAGAGCAGAGCGAAAACCGACCCCCCAAGCCCCAGCTTAAGGTAAAAGAAAAAATAAAGCACCACGCCACACCAGCAGAGGCAATTCCAACGTCCTAGCTCGAGGCTCAATTCTTCGAGTTCTTACGGTAGACTTGTCGAACTGATCATGCGGGGCGAATATCTAGCATTTCGACATTCCTCGCAAACACTTCTCCGAATTAGAGAAGTACATTTAAAAATTATATTCAGAAGAGCACATTTAGAAAAGCACATTTAGAGCAAGGGTGTCCGTATCCAAACTGTTATTCCGGAGCAAATGCTAACAAACTACTCATAGATACACCTATCGCACTGGAACCGGGCGATTAAAGATCAATCATTTATTATGACCACTACACTGGCAGATTCGTCAACGAGTATGAAGATATGTAAGTCTTATTCTGCTTGATTAGAAGTCTGGCAAAGATAGCTCTCACACTCAGCTAGTGTGGAGGTTCCCGATACCGTATGGCTATAGTGCCTAAACACCGCTTTTGGCCTACAATCATCTTTGAGTTTGGCTATGCCGAACCATATGAGCACCTGAAAAAGCTGATGTGAAACTTCTGCTTTGAGGGTACCCAATGGGCAATCAGCAAGGTGACAACAAGGGTCTGTTTACCTAACCGTCTTTGTCTAAAATTCATATCCCTTGGGCGGTGTGAAACAGTAAAATTCGTTGGTGGATGAGGGACTTCGCCATTGTGGTCAAGTCACTCGGCCACCAGCAGGGCTTTTACCTTTACCAATGAGAGCTCAGTTAAAAGTGTGGACAAGTCACTCAGCCCCCTGGCAACGAATTTGACTGTTTCACACCGCCCAAGGGATAGAGGAAATGGACGTCAGACTAATTAGGGTCCAAACGGTATGTTCTGAATTCGTGATTCTTGAGCTTAGGTAATGCTACTAATTTACGATAAGACCCTGGGGGAGCACAGGGGAGTGGTTACGATATTGGGTCGGGTGATGCTGGTTCCGGTATGGTTTGGATCTACCACACAATTTACTATTGAAAGCTGGCAGCCGCTTCAAAGCGAGAATCAAGTTACAACGGACGGCTGAAAAGCTTTTACCTAATGTTCGACCGTCCCAAACTCTTGGTCACAGACGGCCGAGGTGGGACGTTCCTCCGGAGGTGTGGTTGCAACAGTCACCAAACACTCCAGACGGCACTCTGGGTAAACACCTCCTAACGCTCTGCATGGGTATTGTACCGGTACTCGTACTTCAATCTAATATATTTATCCCAGTATCACCAAACCGGCTACCGGTCATATAACCAGTCAAACCCCCAAAAAAAACTACAAACAAATCAAATCACTATCATGGGCAGACCCATCTCGCAACCACTCCCCCCCAAACATTAATCCAAAAAAATCGCTGCCAACGGGCTCACAGGCGCTCATGGCGATCAACACCATTCCGGATTAATGCGTCTTCCACGGGTACTCGAGTACAACAACCAATTCCGCTCTCGACGGATGGTGCCGTTTCGACCCGCTAGACGGCCGTCTATGTAACCGGACCCTAATTAAGCTCGAACCCCTCCGTGAGGACGAGGCACAAACCCAGAAGGTGTTTCTTGAGATGTCATTTCGTCAATGTCCAGGGAAAGTGGGGGGTGGCGACAGGAAGGTAACTACTTCATAGCCTTCCCGCATTTGAACCTGCTTTGACTAACGGATAAGATGTAGAAGCTATTT